GGGGGGGGGGTTCCAATGTTCGGTCAGCACTTTGTTCCAGCTGCAGCTGCTCTGTCAGCGCCAGATCAAGAATGCCTGCCCTCTTCTTGACTTGGGCAAAGATTCTTTTGTGCACCACTAGAGGGAGGACACACAGCGGCTGCCGCGTGGCCGCACCTGTCAAATTCCAGACACTTGTGAGGAGCGTTTTGCGTCTTTTTGGCCTGGATGAAAATCATCCTGCTGGCATTTGAAAATGCTGAACGCACGCAGGAATCCATTTGATCAAACACACACACACTGCACGATGCAAGCGTGACGCTGCTGCCAATGCGGAGTCCAAATATTTGGACCGGCAAGTACCTTCAAACGGACTCGCAAAGATTTCCGAACTGACATGCAGGCGACATGCCACAAACATTTTTCCATCAAGCCAAGGAGCATTGACTTGCATGAGCAGGGGGGAAAAAAGAAATAATAAAAATAATAAATCTATACTGTATATACAGTATTGCATTTGGCCTCCATAATAGCAGTACGGTCAAAATTTGCCAAAGTAACGGTTGCTCATCCCTAATTTGATGGTTTGCGGCTGCAGCGCATGATTTGCGTTCGGCATCGGTCAAGAACAAACTGTAGCCACAGAACAGGGTCGTGTGGCAGAAGCTGTCGGAAACGGTCACGTCAGTCATTTCCGGGGCAAAAGACGATTGGAGAGACGCCTCCTGACCCAATTGAAGGCAAAGGGTGGGGGGGGCACACCGTAGTGCGCAGATGCGACTAAGAGCACACTGCCAACTGGAACTAAAGTTGCCTTTCCTTGCTGCCGCGAAGGTCAAAACGTGGACGAGAACCGTGGAGACACCTTTGGCGGAATAAAGACGACTGAAGCGCTCACCAGGTTCTCTTGTTGTCGAAGAAGAGGACCAGGAAGAGGTGCTCGCGGGCTTCCTGGGTCATTTGCTCCCCGAGTTTGAGAACGTCCAGCGGGGGCACGGGGATGGGGACGCCGCGGTGGAACACGCCCTCCCGGGGCATTTTGGGGTCGATGATCTGCACACAGGCGTCACCGTGTTCAAGGCGGCGCGGCCGCAGCCGAACGTCGCGCGGGACTCACCAAGGCGGGATACGAAGGGTAGCCTCGGCACTTGGCCCACACCAAGTCCAGCGCCTCCAACGACGCGTAGTCGTCCGACGTCATCCAGCATCCCGCCCGCGCCCGCCCGCGCACGACTGACGGGCACAAAAAAAGGGGCGGGGTGAGCGCGACGCCACCTGCTGGCCCACCTTCTCGTCTGCCCCGCTCCCCCCAGACTCACGGTGCGAAACTCCCCGGGAGCCTCCGACCGAGTACGACTCGTTTTCCGTGCCGGAGGTCTCCTCGCTGCTGTCCTCCTGGAAGGCGGAGCGCGAGAAGGACGCCTTTCCGCGGCCCTGCTTCGACGGCGTCGTGCTGTCGACACAAGAGGAGAACCGGGTCCGTGACGGCACGAACGCGATCGCCATTGCGATTTGGGCTTCCCACCGCCGTAAAAACAAAGGCAAGAACAACGGGCCCCACGGCCGGCCGCGTTTGAAACCCTGCAGGCCCCGCCTCTTAAAGCCGCGGGCGTGGAGATGAACTGCGCGCGGTACTTCCTCCTGCGATTTGGTTTTCGGGGGAGTTCACAAACATTCACCACCCGTTTCAAACGCGGGCTTGAAAAGGTCTCGATGAAGATGTGCCATTTTGGCGTCATTCTTCAATGAGACGGCAAGGCCGGCCCCCGCGTTGGTCAGCGCTCCATCGCGCCCCGCAAGAAGGGACATCTGACCTGGTCCGGTCCGAGGCGGCGCTGCTGCTGCTGCTGCTGGTGGACTCGGAGTCGGAGCTGGAGCGCGGAAGACGCGTGTCGTTTCGGTACACGCGGAAGCTCTCCGTCACGGGCTGGTTCCCCCCATCGAATCCGTTGCTCGGCAGACCTGCGCATCGGAGTGGAAATGTTGAGGCGACGCGGGCCTGACAGATGACGGGATACGCGATGCAAGTTGACGCCGCTCATTGGAACGTGTCCACGACAGCATCCGGCCGGCGCGCTCCGCGGGGACGAAGAGCAACTTGATTTCATGGCACCTTGAAGAGTACGCGATGACGACGAGCTTTGACAAAGAAAAAGGCATCATCCCCGAAGCAAAGCCGGACATCATCACAAGTACAAAGACAAAGACGGACACGCGGTACAAATCAGCTGCCATTTGATCCGATGCAGCGATTTCCCACGTGTGGCGCGGGTACCAATAAAGCGCCCTCTAGTGGTATATCGAAGAAGAAGAAGTACTGAATGAAACGGAAACGTTTTTTTGTTTAATCCAGTAAGTTCTGCCAGTACAGCTCACTTGGATTTCCACGTAATCTTTTCGAACATCATTTATTGCGGTACAGCTATATAGGCGACATTATTTTAATGTTGGTCACTACCAGGAAAGCCAAGTAATTTTGGGAGTTGGCTGGAGTAGAAAAAAAGGATTGAAAAAAAGAGAACATCAGCTAAAACGTACCCGGCAGCAGATCGTCATTGTCGCTGTCGCTGTCGGAGGTGGAGCTGGTGCGGGGGCTGCGGGGACGCTTCCTTTGCCTGCCCGGCGACAGCATGGGCAACTGAGGGGGCCCGATGGGGCTGGGGGCGACCCCTGCGGCCACGTAGCCCGGATCCCGGTTTTTCGGGGGGCGTCCGGGTCTTTTGGGAGGGCCGGCCATTTTGGGATTCTTCTTGGAGAAGAGAACGGACGTCCGGCGGCCCACCTCCGGAGCCAAGGCGGACGACGACACGCTCAGATCTGGTGAGAGTGACCAACAACAACAACAACAACAACAAATATGAAATGGGGCTCAAACAAAAAAAAAAACTGAATCGAACTGAATCGACAATCCCCCGAAATTTTATTCCTGCCTTTATCTGTAGTTTACACTCTAAATACACAACACACAATCCCAAACAATTGAATCTCAAACTTGTCTCCCAACATCACCACGAGAAACATTTTAAAAAAACAAATTTGCAAAGATTGGATTTCTGGAAGAGAAAGAATATATATATATATATATATGGATATGTCAGCGGTTCTTCACCTGGGTTCTATCGAACCCGGGGGTTCGGTGAATCGTCTCAGGGGTTCAACAGAGACTCTGCCATGGAGGTTAAGACACAACCGACTCAACATGCCAATGAGTTAGGACACGCCCGCTTGGCCATCACTGGATGCAGATGATCATATGACATTGCTCGTGCAATCAGTGCAGCGGGAAATTTACTTGGCTCAGTAGTCAACGTGTGACTGTTGCAATAGTACATCGTGTGATTTTTTTTTTTTTTGGAACATTTTAATACATTCTATGTACCACATCACGGAGCGTGATGGGACTCAGCGTCATCCTATCTGCGTGTTTTGTCACGCCAAGTTGGACAACTCTTGTCTCGCGCCGGCAAAACTGAAGGAACACTTCTCCAATCAGATTTTTCTTTTCCACCAAGGGTTCGGTGAACGTGCATACGAAGCGGTCGGGTTCGGTACCTCGAACAAGGTGAAGAACCACTGAGATTGATAGATCGAGGTGGTGCCCGGCCGGGCACATGCGACAAAGGCTTTGAGCACAGGCTAATCTTCCCTCCTTCCCACGACACAACGCTTCAGCTTGACTCTCGCAGTCAAGATGCGGGTGAAAATGTGGGACACAGACACCGTATAGAACAACACTCTTCCTCTCCTACCCTTCCTCCGCATTTGAAACGGATTAAAAACAGTGTCTACGTATTGAAAGACAAAATCAAGTCAATACGAGTGAGTGCCTTCCAGAATGACAAGAAGCGGGAACTGACGGCGCGTCATCGTCTGGGTGTGAGCCGGGCTCCACATCAGCTCCGGCATAAGCGAGCTCATCGGGTTTGTCACGCGCCCGAGATTCAAGAAAGAGCGACCAAGTGGGGGACTGCGGCTCTCCGGGCGTTGCAGTGATCAGTTCTATTCTGTTGCGAGAGCGCAACGGAAATCAAGATGTCGCCTATTGTCAAGAGCCATCGAAATTGGCGGCTTTCGACAGCGTGCTGGGGCCTTCCACAACAGAGAGATCTAAGACCGCGCGACTTTGCGATTGGACGGGGCTGCGGCGCCGTACCGCGCGCCTCGGGGCCTTTCCGAAAGGAACGCAAAGTGTGAGCTTTTCAGCAACTCGGGGAGAGGCGAATCGGCGAGAACGCGAGCGACGGCGGTACCGACCCTTGCCGCCCAGCTCTTGACTGCTGCTCTCTTCGCCTTCGTCGTGGTGGCCCGCCGACGAGGGGCGATGCGGGAGCGAACCTCGATCGGCGCCGGGCCCTCCCCCGAGAGAATCCCGGGCCCCGCCCAGGGCGCCTTCTCGCTGGTGCGCCAGTTTCCTCTTGATGATGCTGAGCTCCTTGCGGAGAGCTTTGGCTCGGCGGGACTGGCCGATGCTGTGCTTCCCCGAGTTGGCCTCCTCCAGACGCGCCTGCACGTAGTGCAGCTGCTCCTCCAGAGGCAACCGCCGCCTGTTCTCCGGCACCAGGAGCTCTACGGAGGGATCGACGCGGCCACAAAGACTTGAGCGGCGCGTGAAGCACATTCAGCTTTTGCCTGAAAACTACCAGTCAACTTCATCGGGCCGCCCCGAAACTTTTGAACGCACGAGGTGAGGCGGACTGTCCGAAGCTTCCGGTGAATCGCAGGGGAAACAAACTTGGAATGAGAAGCATAATAATTTAAAAAAAAAAAAAGGGTTCTGGCAACAGCTCTGATGAGAAGCGGCAAGGGCAGACCGCTGAGCGCTAGCTACTTGCGGCGATGCGGATCGCGCGCCACCGTCGATTCAAGGTGACCCAATTTTTGAAAACTACTTTTGGGGTGAAAGCGAAACGGGTGGGATGCTACGGGTGCAGTGCGCACAAACAGCAAAATATACCGTATGAATAATACGCACGCACGCCCCCATGTCCCCCTCGCGATCCACTCGGGAGCATTCTGCGGATGGACGCATCGGGCGGCCCTGATTCAGCAAGACGATGCTTCAAACGTCAGCTCAGAAAATTCCAATTCAGCGTTTTTTGGGGTGCTTTTTTTTTTTTTTTAGGCTGCTACTAATGCTAATTGCAAGTACGCCACTCACAAATGTGCAAATCCGACTCGAATCCGACCCGTGCCTTGTTTGATGGCGACGTAGCGTTTAGCAATCGTCCAGAGCTCGGGCGCAACGTTACCAGCGCGATGAAAACCTGAATTCTAATTCGACCTGGACATTTCTGGCGCAGCCGTCGCATATTGCGCAGCTCAGCTCCTTGTTGTCGAAAAGGAGCGGAATAAGACAATGCATTCAAAAGTGCGGAGGAGCTCAAATGGAGAAGTTCATCCAAAAAGAAATTCCATCTGAAATTAGTTTTCTGTGTGTTTGTGTGTGTGCGGAGCAGGTGTCGCGGGGCAAAGCGACTTGTGTTTTGCGCGCGTTCAAGGATGACAGGCTAGTTTTGTCTGGAGTCGCCCAGAACGCAGCGGCCGGCTCACCGTCTTCATTGGACGACAGCGGCCAGTCTCGTTCTCGCTCTCGCTCGCGTTCCCGCTCCCGCTGGCGCTCCCTCTCCCTCTCCCTCTCCAGCGCCCGTCGGGTGTCGGGACTGGCCTCCCGGGGCAGGTGCATGCCGGTCTCGTAGTCGAAGCCGATCCTGTCCGCTTGCCGCCTGGCGCTCCTGATGACCACCCCGCCCATCTCTCGGAGGCGCAGGGCGGCCCGGTAGAACACCGTGTCCTTGGCGTTGTACTTGAGGCAGTTGTTGACAATCAGACCAAAGTCGCCCTCGAACGCCTCAAAAGTCAGATAGCGGTGGGATTCCAGAAGGTTCCACATGGTCTGGAAGTCCATGGGCGTGTCAATATGGTCCAGGTAGTCCGGCACCTGCGGCCACAGCGGGCAAAAGCGGTTTTGCCGCCGATGCGGAAAGCCCGGGGTTCGCACGACGCGGCTAGAAAAACGAGAAGCGCGGCGACGGAAGGCGGGTTCCCGCGGGACGCGCTCTCGACGGCCAACCCGCACGGCGACTGACCTCCGCGAGAGGAACGGGCTCGGTGAAGAAGTTGTTGGTGTCTCTCTCCTGCAACTGGTCCAGCGTGCTCCTCAGCAGCACCAGGAGGGGAGTCAGTTGCATCTCCAGCGCCATCTGCTGCATTTTAATCTGAAAACAGAAAAAGGAGACGGCACCGCCAGTTCGAGAGAGCGCACTCGTCATGCACGTCGCTTACACCCAACTTGCGGCCTTTAAAACGTCACCCGAGTTGAGACACGGCTCCGTTCGTGCCTCTTGCTGTCGAGCGGAACGGCGTTTCGGTCTTCAGCCCGTCGCTTTATCGCAGTTAACTTATGGGACAACGAGCTCCTGACTTGGTGGAAGGAATTTTGGGAGCACTTTGGCGAATTTCAATCACCCGCGCGCATCGCGTCTCGTCTCACCGTCTCCCTCTTGAGTTTTTCTCTCTTGCGGATGAGTTCCACGAGCAGCCGGGCTCTCTCCAAGTCGTGTCGCAGTCGCTGCCACGCCTTCAGTTGCTCCTTCAGAACCGTTTGTTTCTCCTCGCAGTCCCTCTGCAGCGGCGAGATCAAACGCGGACGGGGTGACGCGCGGTCAGCGAGAGACCACCGAGCGGCCGCGAACGGAGCAGCCGGCGACGTACCGCGGGAAGTTGGGCCGACGGCTGCGGCGGGACGGGCTCCGGGTGCCGTTGGGACTGCAGGTGCGTTTGAAGGCGTCGCAGCAGCGGGACGCCGTTGCGGCTTTGCCTCTTCAGGGTCCAGTAGCTGTGAAGCCGTTGCATGAACTGGCTCTTCCTGGGTACCGTTAAGTTGCTGGTGATTTTGCTCAGCCTGAATCAAATCAAACATCAGAAATGAGCTTGCTTCAGCGGATTTGGTTGTCGTGGGTGGTGCGTTCTTGTCAAATTTCAGGATCGCCGGAAAACGCAGCAGAATCTTTTAGCGCAAGCCAATTTGACCCCCGCGTCGTCATGCCCAACTCTCTCAAGCTTTTTCGCCCACTTTTTCCGTAGTTGAGGTCCAACTCGTGACGGCGAGGACTTTTTGGGCTGTTGTCGTTTCAAGTATCGGTGGCCGGTATCGGCGGCAGCCTCTATGAGTATCCGATAGCTCCAGAGAGCGCCGCTATCGGCACTCGCACATTCTCTTCCATTGAGTACGAGTTCCTGTTCTGTTAACAAGGAGCTGAAGGGCCAAATTCACAAGAGGCGTCAGACGCCTGGACATTTCCAAGCTGGCACTTCCACCCGTATGCCTTTCCGTGACTCTTTCTGTCCGTCTCCAGTCGCAACCTGCCCACAGGACTCGCCCCGACCGCCGAGCAAAAGTCATTTTCGGGCCGTTTGCTCAGCATGGTCGGCTGCGTGCGCATCATTTTCGGTGAGTTCGCAATCAACGTCAGTTGCGTTGGCGGCAGCGAGGTCCGTGCAATGCAACCTTTGTGTTCAGACGTGGTTCCGTTCATCGTCATTCATCTGGGGACATTTCGCACTTTTTTTTTAAACGAATTGCTCGGTTTAAAGGTAGCTTAATATTGTCATTTCAACATTTCTCTTCTTCCAAAGAGGTGCGACGCTTTTCTGTCTCAAAGTTGTCATGTTTGCTGAGAGACAACGTCGGCGACATGAACTATTGATTTCGTCGACGAAAATACCATCAGATGACTAAATTCGGACTAAAACTTGAATTCGTTTGATGCTCAAGACTGGACTGAAAACGACATTAAAATGAAGTCAAAAGTTGAAAGAAGGTGAAATGGTGTTCCAAACGGATTTGGATTGTGCAGTTCCGTTGAGGCTGAAATCCCCCCCCCCAAAGCCCAACAACCCCTCGGCCCAACTTACGGGCCTAACGTGCGTGCGTGACGGCGCCGCGCAGTACCTGTGAGGGGGTATGCAGGGGACGGACACCACGGGAGCGGCCGCTCGTCTCTCGGCCAAGATCTTCCTGGCTCTCTTCATCTTCAGCCGAGACTTGGCCTTGGCCCGCTTGGCCCGCTCCGAGCTCCAGCCCCTGGAGTCGTCGTCGTGGCCCGCGGCGGGCTCGTCGTCGTCCTCCGGTTCGCCTTCGCTCTGCGAGGAGCCCGCGCTGGCGCCGCCCGGCCCCCCCGCGGGCCGGGCCGATCCGGGAGGCGTGTGGATGTCGCAGTAGGCCGTCTTGCGGACGCTGAAAGAGGTTCCGTTGGCCCCCGTCTCTCGGACGGGCTCCATTTTCATGTAGAGGCCCGCTTGCTGCGCGCAGGTGACGTGGAAGGCGGTGTAACAGTTGGCTTTGTGGCACTGAATGCAGGCGCCGGAGCCCCGCTGCTTGCAGATGTAGCAGGTCAGCTTCCAGCGCGCGGGGGGGATGTGCTCGATGCTGTCGATGGGCTCCAGGAAGACGGTGTTTGCGAAGCACACCTGACCAGCGGCAAAGAAAAAAAAAATCGAAAGCGGAGGGCGCGCAATGAGTGTCAAATGCCGGTGCCGGAATGCTCTCGCCGCGGCCTAAGGATGGGCGATTCGGTGACATACTGCGGATGGGTCCGAATAACGCAGAGGCGGGACAAAAGTCGAGGCTCCGCGGACCGCGTCCGGTTGGCACCATTTTTTTTTTTTTTTGGTACGGGGTACTTTTGCTCAAAACGAATTCCCGTTGCAGTATCCACCATAGCAAACGGTCGCACTGTCATCGGGCGCGCGGTCGCTTATGCAATACGATTCGTCAGATCGCCACGCGGAACATTTCACTTTCAAGGACGTTGCGTTGAAAAGCGTCTCTTTTCAACCGAGCGACGTTCCCAGGCGCAACTCGAGACCGTGGCTTTCCGTTTCCTAGCGACGGCGATGCTTTTAACTTGCGCGTTTGAAAGGGAAAGAAAACCTACGCGCGCCCCTCGGGGTTGTGTCGGCTACATGGAAGCTGACCTCCGGGATCCAGAGGGCGCACACCACGTGAGCCCAGCGCGCGTCGTCCGTCTGTTTGAAGGCTCCTCCCTTGTTGGGGCACAGGGCGCAGTCCACCGCTCGACTGGGCGACTGCAGGCAGCGACGACACAACCACTGGCCCTCCGGGATGTACGGCACGCCGTAGCACTCCTGGTGGACGGCCAGGTTGCACATGTCGCAGAAGAGGATCACGTTGCTGTTCTGACAATCGCCGTCGTTGCAAATGCAGCAGACGGCGTCCTCGTCGATCAGGGTGCTCGGGTCCGCCTGGTAGAAAGCAAAGTCGGCCGACGTGAGACGCGGAGGTCGGCGAGCGATCCGTTCCCTCGGACGGACGCTTCTTGGTTTGCAGCTCCGCAGTCAAGTCAACAGCGCAAGCGGAAGCCTCGACGTCGACGAAAACGCGCCGACGTCCGTATGACGACCGGCCTGCGTATTGATGTTCAACGATTCAAGACACGGGCCAAGTCATCGCGAAGCAGCGAGCGCCGGTTTAAAGCCGCCCCCAACCCCCGAGAAAAGAGCAAGAATGGCTCCGATTAAAAACGGAAAGGAGCGCGGCTGCAAATGGCGTTGCGGAACGTAACTCGCCGCTCGGTGGGCTCGCACCTCGCAGTGCTCCGCTTGCTGCGGTACCTTGTTGTGGCTTTCAAAGTAGGACTCCTTCTCGAGACGGTCCATGAGGTACTCGAAGACCTCCTGAGGAATGGGCGTGACGCCGTCCATCCGCCGCTTGTCGTTCATGATGTCCAGCCAGATGTAGTCCTCCTCGTCGATGTCGTACTCCACCTCCTCGTCCAGCTCCTCCACGGACTTGTCCATGTACCTGAAGCCAAACGCCCGCGGCGGCGCGAGTCACACGGACGCCACCTTGTACGCGCCCACTCCCAACCCAGGCTACACTTAGCTCCTCCCCAACATACAAAGTCGAGGTCCTCGTCGCGTACACTTTTCGACGGAGGCAAGCGGACTTCTGCAACGCGATCCAAATGAATTTCAACACCCCGAAATTGGCCCACAGAAAATGCCGCGTCGGTGCGCCTGGAAGAGGCGGGGCCGAGCGAGGCGGCGCCATCACTTCGACAAACTTCCTTGACCCCAACGGCAGCACTTGGCTAGTTCGGAAAGGCTTTGGCATCTCGGGGCCTTTGCGAGAGAGCACGCAAAAAGCCAAAGAGGTGAGAACTTCTTGCAATCAATTGCGTACGGCAATGTTTCCAAATTTGGAGAAGATGAGCCTGGTTGCCAAATAGCCCAAAATGTAGAGGACGATGCGACGAGAGAGAACCGATTCAAGGACAACTCTTTTGACGTACGATCCATGACTTATTTGGAGACCTTGTTTTATATCTATTGAATTGATCGACTTTTTGTCTTCGACTTTCTCCCTTTCATAATTTTGCTGCTGGAAATTGGGAATTTCTCCACTGTGAGACAAATCACTTATTTTTACTTGTCCACCTGCTCCAATTTCAACCACTCCACTGTCACTCTTCTCTGATTTCTGTCGTCTTCCACGCAAGCAGCCCAAGTGGCTTTTTATTCCTTTTCGAAAATGAAGCAGCAACACACAAGAGAGATTGATGTTGGCTCCATGAGCTAAATCGTGATTTGATGACAAATGACTTGATTCATCGATGAATTTGGACACCCGGATTCTGCTTTGACTTAGGAAAACAACATTTTCTGACACGTTTTGGACCCAAGCAAAGACCGAATCAACGATTGACATTTTCTGCACTGTCGATTTGAAATAGTATGTCCCTTTTTGTCTGTTTGTTTGTTTGTTTGGAATCCGATTCGTTCATGAATCCATTCTTAAAATCGGCAAATCTGACCTGTAGTAAGAGGACGGGCGCGGGGGCGCGTCGGGCCTGTCTTGGTCCAGTTCGCGGAAGACGGCCTCCGGCAGCTTGACGGCGGGGCCCGACTGGGCGCCGTGGTGATAGGCCGAGCCCTCCTTCTTCTTTTCTTTGCTTTTATGCTTGCCAGACTTGGGCGTGGCTTTGCCCCCGTTGGAGGACGGAACGTCGGGCCGCTCGTTGCCGGCGCCCCCGGCCTCGCCGCCTCCGCCGTCGCTCCCGTTGCACACCCCCGCCGAGTGGACGCCCGGGACGGACGGCGGGTCGTCTTCGCCGTCGCTGTCCTCCTCCGACACGACGTCGATGTTCTCGAAGATGCTGATGCGGTGAACGCGCCCTTGGATTTCCAGCTCCACCATGCGCTGCGCCTGGGCGTAGGTCATGGCGTCCCTGCCGGGGGACCGCGAAGGCTCCGAGCGACCGGGGCTGCGGGGCGAGCTCCCGCCGTGCCCCGGCCCCGCCCCTTGCTCGAGGTCGCCGTCGTCCAGATCCAGCGAGCCGGCGAGCGGCGCGCGAGGCGGCCGCCCTTTGCGCTTCTTGTGGGGCGCGGCCTGCGCGGGCGGCGGGTTGTCGTGATCATAGTGGTACAGGTGGTACTCGATGCCGCTGTAGCTCTTGTAGACCTTCCGGCAGCTCTCCACGGGACACTCGTAAGGCGGCTTGCTGGCCCGCAGGTTGTGGCAGAAGGTCTTGACGTCAAAGTCCAGCCCCATCACGCCAACGGCGGCCGCGGCCGGCTCGGACGCTGCTCGGGCTTACATCTGAAAACAAGGCGGGACGTTTCAAGCTTGTGGGCGGCACGCTGCCGTGGCGCACGGTGACGCCGCCCTGTAGTCTGTTGCGCGCGGGGTAAAGGTGTCAGAATAGCTCCTTGACTGGTGTCACAAAAGACAGAATCCCCCCCACCACCACCACCATAGTGTGAGGCACCCCTGGAAAGACTCTTGCGAGATCGTCCGCAGAACGCGGGCATCTCGTCGTCTGCCTTCAAGTCGTCCGCGTCCTCAACACCTTGAGCCTTGGCGGGCGAGAAGCGAGGGCGCAACAGCACGCTGAGGTTCGTCTAAGCCAGGAACTGCCAGGTGCTCAGCAGACACGCCGCGGTCAAGTAGACACGTGTGGCCCTCGCCTCTTTGGAGACAAGCTGCTTGAAATCCCACTTCGGGTTCTGCGTTTTCAGTCCGATTGAGATGTGACCGTGGAGCATTTTCATCGCGTTTGGTCATTCGCTTCATTTGAATCGGCACGTGTGGCTTCGTGTAAATCAGCTATTGAAGGGGGAAGTTTATGCTTCAACTTTTGTGACACCGGGCTTGCATCCTAAAACTCGCTGACAGAAAATTAAAATGAGTTGCTGTGAGACGATGACACAATGGTCTTCAAGCGTCCGCGTGCAAGTGAAATGTTTGCATATTTGGGCAGGTACTTCGCTGGCTGTACTCCAAAGCTAAGGAACAAATTCATGCGCCGACTAAATGACCCAAACATCGGACTCATGGGGCGCTTGGCAAACAGATTGTTGGGTTATACGGCAAAGCTATTAAAGGGCTCTTTCTTGTCTTTGTTTTGGCACATGTCGGAATGGTTGTTATGATTATCTTACTGGAAATGTTAAGACAAAAAATGATATTAAAATTGCTCTATTTTCACCTGGTATGTCATTTGAGTTTAAAAAAATGCATTGCTCAATGTTACCGTGTTGTTTTTTTTTACCGTGCCATGAGACATCTCGAAATCGTGTCATATGGTGTCGATAAAACGAAATCCGTGTGCAACTCCAAGTTTGTGTTTTGCGAATGAAACTCAAAGACAACAGAAACACAGACAAACAAAGCACTTAGTGATACCGGACAACTCTCGTTTGCACCCAAGTTACGGCATTAGATGGTGACTATGTTCCAAAGTCTTTCGGTCCTCGTAGTATATTTCGCATATTTTCGAACTCGAGTTGGCTTAAAGTAGGGGGGAACAAAGCCGTTTCTGGTGGCCGGCGATGATGTCGGAGGTGTAAAGTAAACAATACGAAAACATCCGAATACATTGCTACGCGTGCCAGAGGCAATAGCCAAAGTTGATTTCTTTTTCCTTTTCGTATTGGCGAATGTCAAGTGTGTCAACAAAGCTAACTGAAATCGACGTATTCTCGCCTGGCGGGTGTGTACAGCACGTATGTGGCGAGTGAGCTTTTTTTTGTTTTGTCGCAGCTAAACGTGCGTTCAGTCTTCATGTGTACACTAACAGCGAGTTGAGGACTAAACTTCCGCACGTCAGCAAAGCTAACGTTAGCGTAGCACGGGGCCACTTGTCGCCGCAATTGAGCTCGTGAGCACCCCTCCGCCTCAAGAAGCGAACACGCGTCTGAAGTGCAAAAAGCACAAAAAGAAGCACACGAGCGTTTTCGACGATCGGCTTGTTTCGCGCGATCTGGGACGCTCGTTGACTGCATTTGCGAGCATTCGTTAGCTTCCAACCTGGGGGCGTTGCGGGGGAATTTGGGAACTCTTTCTAGCCGATCGAAAGGCGAACAAGGACATTCGGTCTGCAAGTTGACTTTCGATCAGCCTTTCCCTCCAACCGCGACGAGCACCTCACCGCTCGGCTCCAGTCTCGACTCGGTCCCCGCCGAGCATCCGAATGACAACATTGCGCTCTGCTTGGAATTTAGCGCTACGCCTGCCGGCGTCAGCTAATGTTCCCCCAACGAGCCACGAAACGCCACAAAGCAGCCGCCCGCTCAGTGGGGCCCAAACGCTCGCTGCTTTATTCTCCCAGTCTTTCATTTATTGGCGGATTGCAAGCGACGTTCACTTACTCCTTCCATCGCATCGCACCCAGCCTTTCGAGGCTCACGCATCGACGCCGAGTGTTTCCCAGGTCCCAGGAGACGGCGTTTGAGGCGAGCGCGCGGTTGTTTCAGGAAACAATGTACTCTCGCGGGCGTCGCATTGCGTGCGGAAAAGAAATCCAAAAAGAAAAAGTCGGGGAGAAACGAACGATTCGGTCAGTTGGGCCGAATCACAAAGGGGGCCGCCATTGCTCCAACAACGCCGTCGTCTTGGGCGCCCGTCCGCACATTCGACACACAAAGCGGGAAAACGGGGAACCTTTCCCAGACACCCCCCCCCTTCAGCTTTCGCCTTTGTTACTGGGTCACATTTTGGGGGTTCGTATCAACTTGTTTAATTGGCCTTTGTAATCCCATGTGATCAACATCGTTCTCATGTCGCGTCCGAGCGAATCTGCCGCTTTGTTGAATATCCATCTTCGACCTCACGAAATCGAAAACTGCCGTCTTGGTGGAACGTGTTTATTCATAAACTAAAATAACAATCCCAAAAATATTGACGCCACCATGTTTTAAATGAGTCCGAAAAAGTGTATTTCATGGTATTGTAATCCACTGCTCTGAAAAATGGAAGCAGGTGGGGGTGTAACGACCCAAACGGTTCAATTCAAATATATTGCACAAGTCATACAAAATACCGAAATAAATGTTTGAAAAGTAAGAGTTGTAAAAGGTTTGATTCAAAAGTACCGTACTTAAAATCAAACAATTTGAAAACATTTAATCCAGTCTCCCATGAACCACTAGACGGGTGCCTTCGGTCCATCCATCCATCATCTGAGCCGCTCATTCCGACACGTTAGTAAGAGTGGCCGGGTGCTTCCTTTCAAATCAAAACAATCCTATGTGACCGTCAGACTGAAAATATTTATTTGTCTCTCAACACGATCAAACAGTGCAGCGGGTCGGATGAGTGACGCAGCGTGTCAGGTCAAAGTCATCTCCACCCCCCTCCCCCAACGGGAGCGTATTAACTGTGAGGGAACGCCAGCCGCCACCGAAATTTGTCCAGCGAGTCACCTTCCTCTGCGCGGAACAAACAAAAACAAAGCAGAAGCGCCCAGAGAGAAATGCCAGAGAACAAAAGTCTCTTTCAACCGGAAGTACCATATCTCCCCAAAGAAGAGGATTCTGCATAAATGACTACAAAAGTCCCAATTCCAAGCGAATTGATACTGTGACACCCAAGCCACCTCTGCACAAAGTTGAACAAAATAGACTGTTGACACGTTAACGACTCTGTACAATTCACAGCTTGCAAAGATACTTGATAGGTTTAAGTTGTGACTTGCGCACGGAGAAGAAAACGTCCGTGCTTTTTGCTGAGCTGTAAGAATGGCAAACGCTTCAACATAAAAGCGCACGAAAAAAATTGTGCAAATCTCAACTCTACAATTTGCAATCGGTGGCAGGAAAACCAAAAATGCTTGACGCAACACAAAAGGGCAGTCATGCCGCTCAGTTTCAGGAGTTTTCTGTTTGGTACCGTCTGCTGGTGTCACTAACGGGCTCGTATGACATGGCATTAAAAAAAAAAAAGATCCAAACTTCTGCCCACGTTCTAAACTGTCCAGTTGAGACGCGGCGTCGCCGTTGCCGTGCTTCTCGTTGACGTTGTTCCGACCTTGGCGCACGTCACACGAGGTCATTGACAAGGCCGGTGCACTTGAGAGCCTCCGCACGCCAGCTGCCCCGTTCTGCCCACGGAACCGCGGACACGGCTCTGGATGCGGTCGTTGCCCCCAGATGCTCCGAGAGCAAATCTTGTGCCGCCGTCTATGAAAACGAGACAACCAGCAAAACAAGAACCGTTTGACCTGAAAGAGGCTCGCGTCCGCTGGCGGCGTCCTGTCCCCTTCATTCATTTTTCTTTTGCGTGGCAGCAGCGTCTTTCATCACCACAGCATACTGCCAAAGGAGAGGTTTCCACCCCCCCCAAAAAGTCATTTGATGGTTTGAACAAGAGCATTTGCTGTGTCGATATTGCAGTGCTACAATGGCATTGTAAAGCAAAAAAAAACGTGTCCGCTGCAGTGAAAAAGACTTGACTCGAGTGAGCTGTGAAATCAAGGACAGAACAAGTTGAAGGTTCAAGGCACGACATTCCGTCAACGTGAATACCATTTGGTTTCTGAAACCAAAGCCACGGCTTTTGGACTTCCAATGGAGTGTTGAAAGTGCGCCCGATTGAAATGGAAAGTGCTCAGCCAAAGATAAAAAGGAGCACACTGGACAAGAAGCATGCACGTCTTCGCTTTCGCCGAGGAAACCTTCCGTTCGGCTCCAAGCGGTCGTTGAGGGGACGCAGTCCTGACACGCTGACGACGTACCGCGGCCTCCGGGTTAGCTAGTCCCGGCGGAGTTTGGGCGGGGGCCGTTGTCGGGCTCGCGGGCTCGGATTCCCGGTTCGGCCGAGGTGAAAAAGAAGCTCGCCGATGCGACGGGACGCCGCCGGGCATCGAGGGCCGCGGGAGCCACCGTCCCGCCGTGGCGGCCCG